ATACATTTCGTGAGAGCAATCCTTTAAAAAGGAAAGTATATCAATCACAGCATCATAAGTGTAAATGACAAGAAGGACGACAGACTGCATGCTTCAACAAAAGTTTGAATATCTTTTGAAATTGGTATTAGAATAAAGCGAAGAGTTTTTAACCTGAAGTTAATTTTGTTTAAAAGGGTATGTGTAAGGATATAGTAAAACGATGATTTGGTCATATTCTCATATTTTTTTTTTATGATGAGACGTATTTACTTAAGGAATGTTTTTAAGTTTTGTGTGACTTATTGGTGTGTAATTCACACAGACTTGTCACGTAGGCATATTTCATGAAGCGCACTAGCGCTTCATGAAAAATATGCCTACGTGCAAGTCTGTGTGATTTACACACCGATAATTCACACTAACCTTAAAAACATTCCAAGCATTTCAAAAGCACCAAAAATATACTCAATGTTTGAATTATTCGCTGCCCTATATCGTTACATTTTTAATAACTCCTGTGTAGCTAATCGTGACGTCACTTTAGCGAGAGTTTCTCCGTGCATATCTTTACGCGTGAGTATACACGATAATGGCATTCAAATCGGCTTAGTAGAAAAACATAGCAAATGTAGATATTTTGTAATAAGATTTGAACGTCAAGTAAGTGTAGGTTAAGGCTTCCCATAAAATTTCACAGTGCACTCTGTGCCGTCACTTCGATATAATAGAAAATGACGTCAAGTCACTGCTCATTTGAGCGGGAAGACGAGGAGAGTGTCATGAACTTTACACTATTTCATGCTAGAAAGCTTTTTGCAAAATTCACGGGTCGTTAAAGATTTTTAAGTTTTTTATGTCTGTATATTTTAAAAATACATCGCTTACGTACTCTTGATTGAAATTCAGCATGTTGAAAATGTTTACGAAAAATATAATTTTGAAATGTACTCTGTTTTATACCCGTGGTTGGGGGGGGGGGGGGTAGAATTCATTTTGTGTGTATAAAAGAGTCTGGCGCAGGTGATTAATGATGATTAATCTGATTTTTTTGTGGAAATCTGTACGAAGAGGTTTTTCTCTAACTGAATCTTGCTTGGGAGAAATGTGTGATGGGTTTGTTTTAATACAGATTACGATATTGTGTGGAAAATACCCTAAAGTAGTAGTAGGGAAGTTGAATTTTTGTATCCAAGTAATACTATGACCTTTCCAAGCACATTTTGGGTACACAAGGATACGGTGAGTTAATTTAAATTGTAAAATATTAAAAATTTTTGTGTTAATCGGCTGCGCCGAAGAGATTTATGTAAAATCCTTCCAAAAATGATGAATGACGGTCACGTGATCAACAAAGTTGTGATATCATAACAAATATGTTAGTATACAGCAGGGATGGGGTAATTCAAAAAAGTGATTGTAATTGAGTGTAATTAATTGCATTTTTCAAAGTAATTGGAAGTAATTTGTAATTGACCACTTTTTCAATGACTTGTAATTGAATATAATTAATTACATTGAAAAAACACCCTGTAATTTCAATTACTTTTCAATTACATTTCAATTACTTTACATAATACATGTGTATTATACAGTACCAACCAGACCCAACCTGACACCTAAGCAGTCCCAGAAAGCAGTCCCCGGGACTGCTTTGGGACCGCTGTGGGACTGCTGTGGGACTGCTCTGGGACCGCTGTGGTACTGCTCTGGGACTGCTGTGGGACTGCTCTAGGACTGCTCTAGAAAGCAGACCCAGCAGTCCCAGCAGTCCCTGGGACTGCTTTCTGGGACTGCTTTGTTCACTCATGCATGAAAAAGGTTCTGAGTGACATGATAGCTCCGCCCCTTGTGTATTCTGAATTTGCAGGCTCCCTGTTGTTGTTTTGTTTACTTTCAGCAGAGAGGTGTTTAAGATAAAGAATAAAAAACAAGGTTTTTTTTACAACATTTTAATAAGTAGAGATAGATATACATGTAATTACTAAATGTCTTCAGAGGCTGTAAATTTACACAATTGTAGTCTAGAATTAATTTTAAAAAATGAAAGTAGTTAAAAGGGAAGTCAGGAGATGACTTTTATCCTTTAAATTAAAGTTTAATACAGGTGTTTGAAAAAATATATATATCTAGGCCTATTTAATTAATTAATGCTAATTAAAACTTTAATACACGTGATTGAAAAAAAATATCGAGGCCTATTTAGCTAATTAATGCTGTCAAGTTACGGAATGTACTCAAAGTTTGCATTAGCACTATTTAAAAACAAACAAACAAAAAAAAAAAAAAAACAAACAAACAAACTTGTCATTACAATAAGACATTCAGAGGGACGTACTGTACTGGATTTTTTTTTTAATTGAAAAAGCTAAAACCATATGCATGCTAAAAAAGAGCATTCCATGCTATTTTTTACCGCCCTCAAATGAAACCTATTAATTTATTAAATGATCATGAAATAAAATTATTCTACCATTCTTCAGTCATTTAAAAAAATTATATTTGTGAATAATTATTGGGGGATTTATTTATGAATTTGTTTTTGATTTATAAACAAGTAATTAAAAGAGTAAATTTATAAACATTTTAAAATATTGGGAATTGTGACTTATTTCTTATTTGTTTTGTTTGTGTTTTCCTGGCCGATTAATGAAAAGCAATACAAATGTATAAAATGGTGTCAACACCTGAAGTTTCAATCGCCTTCGGGCATGATTAGCAGAAAGTCAATGCATGTTATTTGGGTATCAGTGTTACACATCACTGAACATGCTGGTCAACAATGACACTAAGTTCAATCTATGTACTGCAAAAAATCTTCGTTTCAATAAATGTGTATAAATTTATTTCGGGATTAATTAATTTTGAACATAATCTGAGGGTTCCATTCGCATGATTTACAGATGTAAACTCAAACGTTTATATAATAAAAGTATTATTGTTTTCTGTTACATAGATAATTTAACGATAATTAAATTGGCAAGTCAGTGAAAATAATCATGACTAAAATATAATACACAAAGAATTTTTCAAAAGCTCCAGTACTTAAGAAAACTGCATTCAGAGTATAGTATGGAAATCGGCCTTGCTTTATAATTATAAGGCATATTTAAAGCTAGTTTTGATAGAAAATAAATAACTCAAGCTTAATTATCTATAAAAAAAAAAAAAAATTAAATAAATATGGAAACCAATATCAATCACAGTAATTTAGAAATTGATTTATTTTGGTGAAAAATTAATATACCACAAAACTGTGTTTAAATATTTATGATATTTATAGGTGTGAACGTCTTCTTTGTTCAATAATTATCATTTGTTTCTATACGCGTAGTGTGATTTTCTTAACAGTTAAAAAATGACTGTCGTATGAGAATTGATACTGCTCAGAAAGAAATTGATCATCAATTTCAACTGCCTTTTATAGTTACATTGTTTATTGGTAATCTCATTTCTGAGTAAGCTCCGCCCATTAAATTAATTAACCCCGCCCACTGGGACTGCTGGGACTGCTTTCTGGGATTGCTGGGACTGCTTTCTGGGACCGCTGGGACTGCTGGGACTGCTCTGGGACCGCTGTGGGACTGCTCTGGGACTGCTTTAGCAGTCCCAGAGCAGTCCCAGAAAGCAGTCCCCGGGACTGCTCTGGGACTGCTTTGTGTCAGGTTGGGTCTGGTTGGTACTGTATGTATTTGATAGGAAAATATTTCCAACACAGTCACATTTTACAGGTATTTTAATTTATTCAAAGAGCCCTTCTGTTTTTCAAAATCTGAAACTCTTTTATATCTCAATAAATGAATGTGATATATTAGCTTATTTATAAAAATATATTTTTGTTTCATAAAATTTATAAAGCACATAAAGAATTAATACTAGTGTTTTATCAAAAAAAATTCTTCCTCTCATTGATATAGGCATGAAAACATTTCAATTTTTAGTTGCTTGATTATCAAAACAGAATAGAAATTAATTTAGTGTGTCATTAGGACCTGCCTTGTTGCCCTTCAACTCCCAGCTGTAAATTGCTATCAAAACAAAGTTTTATATAATTTTATACCATGCTTTATTAAATTCAAAGATATGACCATTAGAGGTGATTTATCAAGTACTATTAAGAATGCTCTACTATTTATATACTTCAGAAAAGAAATAAATATTGAATCACTATTTTAACATTTAAACAGATTTTTATATACATGTATGCATTTGGTATCTGAAATAGTTATTACATAAAACCAGTATTATTTGTCAACATTCGCAATTTAAGGTGTTTAGCTTGCCTACCTGTAGCTAATTTGAGAGTATTTTATGGTTGATTCATAAACTCTTCAAAACTTCCTTTTAATGAAATTTCGTAAAGGCAGTCAATTGATAAATGTACATGTAGGACTAAGTCTTGTGTTGATGAAACACACAAACATCACACGCACCTGACATTATTTATTCTAAATATTCCCCCTACCTTAAATTAACATGTATTTGTTCTTCAAGATTTTTGAAAGTGAAACAAAAGTAATTGAAATGTATTTAATTACATTCTTGAAAGTAATTGAGAGTAATTAATTACATTTGTAAAAATGAATGTAATTGTAATTGCAAGTAATTGACAAAATTTTCAATGTATTTGAAAGTATTTAATTACATTTCAAAGTTATTGACCTCAACCCTGGTATACAGCTGAGGGAACCCTCTATATAATTTGGAAGTCTTAAAGAACAAAACATTAATTAAAACCAAACCGACCTCGCAATGCAATAGTATGTTTTGAGCGCATTTTTAAGCTTCGGGAAGCCTTGACATAGCTGCGTAAGTGATGTTTATTTATTGTGAAATTTTGGAAGTTCCCAAAAGTACCTCCACGTTTCATTTTTTTGATTTGTCTTATCCCATCCCATCAATTCCCATTAATTCGATGACAAATCTATAAAGATTACGAAAAATGAATTTTGCAGAATTCCTAAATCTATAACGTACATATGAGATGTATATGCATCAACTAAGCAGTTTGTTTATTACAGGTGTAAAGGAACAGATGAAAAACTTGATAAAAGAAAATACAGGTAATAAATGCAGCTTAAACAGTACGTTTTTTCTTAAACCCCAATATGCCAACAAAGGAATCGACGCGGTTAATAGAAGACTTGTATAATTCTTAATCATAAAAGGGTCCAGTCTTGTATTCCACCATATTTGCGCATCATAATTAGCGTAAATGACAAGAGGGACGACAGACTGCATGTTTCAACAAAAGTTTGAATATCTTGTGAAATGTTTCATGAATTTTTGAACGTTTAGAATATCTGCAAAGAGTTTTTAACCTGAAGTTAATTTTGTATAAAAGGGTAATATGTGTAAGGATTTAGTAAAACGATGGTTTGGTCATATTCTCATACTTTTTATGTTGAGACGTACTTACTTTGTAACAAGAATTGAACGTCAAGTTAGTTGTAAGTGATATTTATTCATTGTGGAATTTTGGAAGTTCCCAAACGTACCTTCACATTTCATTTTTTTTTTACCGTGGCTACTCAACATATCTTATTAAACATCCTTAATGGGCAAGTCTAAAAGTGATTTTGAATGATGATTTGTCTTATCCCATCCCACCAATTCCCATTAATTCGATGACAAATCTATGAAAATTACGAAAAATGAATTTTGCAGAATTCCTAAATCTATAACATACATATGAGATGTATATGCATCAACTAAGCAGTTTGTTTATTACAGGTGTAAAGGAACAGATGAAAGACTTGATAAAAGAAAATACAGGTAATTAATTGAAGAAAATGCAGCTTAAACACTATTTTTTTCCTTAAGCCCCAGTATGCCAACCAAGGAATCGACGCGGTTAATAGAAGTATTATTCTTAATCATAAAAAGGGTCCAGTCTTGTATTCCACCATATTTGCAGGAAATACAAGGTGAAATCCTGCATCATACACAGCATCATAATTAGCGTAAATGACAAGAAGGACGACAGACTGCATGTTTCAACAAAAGTTTGAATATCTTGTGAAATGTTTCATAAATTTTTGAACGTTTAGAATATCTGCAAAGAGTTTTTAACCTGAAGTTAATTTTGTATAAAAGGGTAATATGTGTAAGGATTTAGTAAAACGATGGTTTGGTCATATTCTCATACTTTTTATGTTGAGACGTACTTACTTTGTAACAAGAATTGAACGTCAAGTTAGTTTGTAAGTGATGGTTTTTCATTGTGGAATTTTGGAAGTTCCCAAACGTACCTTCACATTTCATTTTTTTTTTCACCGTGGCTACTCAGCATATCTTATTAACATCCTTAATGGACAGGTCTAAAAGTGATTTTGAATGATGATTTGTCTTATCCCATCCCATCAATTCCCATTAATTCGATGACAAATCTATGAAAAATATGAAATTTGAGTTTTGCAGAATTCCTAAATCTATAACATACATATGAGATGTATATGCATCAACTAAGCAGTTTGTTTATTACAGGTATAAAGGAACAGATCAAAATCTTGATAAAAGAAAATACAGGTAATAAATTGAAAAAAAAAGCAGCTTAAACAGTACGTTTTTCCTTAAACCCAAATATGCCAAGAAGGGAATTGACGCAGTCAATACGAGGAAATATTCTTAATAACAAAAGTGTCCAGTCTTGTATTCCACCATATTTGCAGGAAATACAAGGTGTAGTCTTAGACTTCCTACTATCCATTGGAATTTACATGGATACCAATTGCGCCCCGTTATTAGCAGACCTATTTTTGTATTCATATGAAGCAGAATTTGTCCAAAATCTCATACGTTAAAAGAAGAAAATACTTGCTGTGGCCTTCAACTCAACATTTAGATATATCGACGGCGTATTATCAATTAACAATGGTATTTCCATTCTTATGTTGATACGATATATCGCGGTGAGCTTGAAATAAAAGATACCACAGAGTCTGACACATCTGTTTCATTAATGGATATTAATCAGCAACTCCCCTTACTTATGCAGCAATAAACCTTCATCACCTGCATACGGGATGAATATCTCACAGTTAATTTGATATGAAAGGGCATGTTCTACGCATGAACAATTTCTAAATCAAGCTAAGTTATTGACAAACTAGTTGATGAAACAAGATTATCAGCAATCTCGTTTAAAATCGTCATTTCATAATTTCTATGGTCGATACAATGACCTTGTCAGCAAATGCAATTTATCATTAAGTCAAATGCTGAGTGATGTTTCTCATACTAATTGTTAGGCATTATATACACACTGAATTGTTGACAGATTTTTCCTTTTTTCCCGATCATGACAAGTTGCAAACGGCGGGTGTGACCGGTCGGCAGGGGATGCTCAATCCACCATGGCACCTGATCCCACCTATGATGTTTTAGAGGTCCGTGTTTGCTCTGCTCCAAAATTGTATTGTTAAACGGACTTTTGAGCTTGAATACTGTTCGTTATATCCATACATTTCATTCTACCTGAGAGGGCTAATTCTAAAAAGAATCGAAATAAAGAATTTAAAATGAATTCAACTATTCAAAGATGTCGTTTGTGCTCAAAGCATTAAATCAAAATGCAATTCAAAATTCAGAAAATAATATTGAAATATAATAGGAATTAACTGAGAATCAATAATTATAAAAACTTCATTGCACTTCAATTTTAAGCCTTTGGTGCTTCGGTCCTTTGGAGTTGCAAACGTATGTGCATATAATTAAAATGATAGTCACAATATATACAGAAATACAGGGAAAGCAATGCCTCCAGAGAAGATATTGAATATTGTTACCATATGAATTTTATAAAGCGTATCTTACTTATCATTTTCCTGCCTTGTTGTCTAAAAAGGTAAATGTCAAAAGGATAATTTAATTATTTTGTTGAACTCTGAATGTAATCATAGGACGTACGTTTTAATTTAAGTAATTTATGTTTTTGACATTCTTGAAGAGCCACAGTCTTTTCTCAATGCTCCAGCTAAGGAAAGTTAATATTATGCAAGAAATAAAGTTCATGTAAGGTATCGGCCTCAGCACATAATCACTTCAGCACACCGTCTTTGCTGCAATAAATTTGTTTGTTTAACGTACCTTCGAGACATTTTCACCCATCACTTGCCGGTTGAGGGCTGTAAATTAAGACCTATACTCTTCACTAGGACCTATGAGCAGTTAGGCATCCCACCTTCTGTGACACGGGAGTTTCGTTTACACGGTCTCATCCAAAGAACCGGTCTCCACCCCGAAGTGTGAATTTGAACTCCGGATGTAAAAATCAACACCTTACTCCGCAACTCAGAGCAAACCGTCTGACCACTGAGCCACGCGGGCGACAAATAAAAATCTTTATTAACCTAATGTTAAAGTTATTAGTTGAATATTTCCAATGATCTTTTAATGTAATTAGAGGCATATAGGAAAACAAATTTCTTTGCGAAATTTTCATTTGAACAACAGGTCATGACAAGTCAGCAATGATATTGTCTAAAATATCAGAAATGTAAAAGGCGGTGATAAGAAACAGTGAACTATCTCATAAATCCACCAGAGAAAAACGAATGGAGAAAATAGGAACCCTGAATACATCAGAGGTAGAATCGTTTGTCCAAGAGAAAAAAGCATCTCCTTGACTCCGCCATGAGCAATCATGTAAATCATGTAGACTCCGTAGTTTAAGTATAAAAAGAAACAATGTGTATTAAACATGTTAGACAAAGTACGACCGGATGATAGATTGTATTTACAAGGATTGTTTGATTGATTGTATGTTGTTTTACGTCTCATTCGAGAACTTTTCACTCATATAGAGACGTCACCATATATCGGTGAAGGGCTTCAAATTTTGACCTTAACTCGACTCTTAGGGCCATTGAGCAGTGAGGGATCTTTATCGTGCCAACTCCGCCGTGACACGGGGCTTCGGGTTTTAAGGTCTCATCCGAAGGACCAGCAACTTTCACTTCAGAGTGCCGAGCGCATGGCGAAGGAACAGTTGCTACCCATTTTTTATCGACTTAGGTCAGTTGCGGTCGAGATTCGAACTTACGACCTCCCGATCACGGAGCGAGCGCTGTACCGACTGAGCTAACGTGAACGGTGTATTTACAAGGAAGGTAATATATTAGAATTTGCGAAACACTGACTTAAAATGAGGTTGTTGAAATCCTTGTAATATCGACATATCTGTTAGTTGCTTAATTTTCTATAAAAAAAATGATAGTATTCTAAGCATGCTCTTGCATAATAAATCAGGGAACATTAAAAACCTATACTGGTATTTGCGGAATATTACTATATGATTAAGAAAATTTAAGGATGGATAAAGCTGAGGTCATCTCGTTTGTCATAAAATATAGTTGTTAATTAGCCCTTATCCTCTAAATATGAAACAGATTTGTCAGATTCTGTAGACTCTTATTCACTGGGATATATCAATTCGACAAATAAGGGAAAATAAGAATTGTTAATTGGTAAAGCTAAGGGCCGTTTTCTTGTTTTTTTTTTTTTTTTTTTTTTTTTTTTTTTTTTTTTTTTTTCCCGATATCGATTGTATTTTTTGAAATATAGAATTTGACATGTGACAGTGTTTTGATAGGAAAATACAAAAAGAACATCATTTTTAGCAAAGTAATGTCGTTGGGCGTTAAATTACCAAGCCATTATACATGAATGAAATTTTGACTTTGAATTAAATGATATAGTGAATAGACATATATTTTATAAAAATCATGATCAATTTCCTACAATAAATATCAGGTGTAAATTGAATTCATTGTAGTTAATGTGGTAACCGTGAGTTTGACTGAATGAGTTTTATCGTAAGCTAAATAATTTTACTATGTGACCTTTCTCGACAAATGATTGTGCAGATGTCAAAAAAAAGATCGTAAACAGACCGTAACAAGGGCTGACATCAGTGTTAACAGACCGTAACAAGGGCTGACATTCGAGTTAATAAACCGTAACAAGGGCTGACATCAGTGTTAACAGACCGTAACAAGGCCTGATATTAGTGTTAACAGACCGTAACAAGGGCTGACATCAGTGTTAATAGACCGTAACAAGGGCTGACATCAATGTTTGATTTATGTTTATCGAAAATTTAAAATTCCTTAGGGTCCACCTTTTTTCTGTCATATGCACTTTGTAGTTGTTATTTGTTAACCAACATGCAACACACAAGATATTTAGGTAAGCTTGTCTGTGTATGTGATGAAAACTGCTCAATCACAAATCCAGGCGTCTATGATTGTATAGATTATTACTTCATCTATCCATTTTACTCGCCCTCATTATTTTACGGTAAACTCTAAGTAAATGATTTTTGCAAACATGACGGTAAATCCAGTTTTATATACAATGAACTGATGCTGAATGAATTAAATATGAAACATAAAAAAATATACAAGACTGTTATGCAAATTCTAAGTAATTTCTTTACCACAGTTGTACAGACAGGGATTAAAAGTTTGACAGAAGAAAATAAAGGTAAGATCCAGATATCTTGTCAGTGACCTTTTGAATGGAGCTAACATTCTGATCCACCACACTCCTCTTTTCAGATGTAATCTTTGGTGTTGAAACAAATAGTTTTATAGGCATTTTACTCCTCATGCACTGGGGAGATGAACTTTTACTTGCAATTCTAGATCTCTGAAATATTGCATTAAATGTTTATTACATAATTGTTCATTTTATTCATGCTTCATATGCTACATAATTATTGACATTTACGAACTTTATTTTCATACGCTTTCACTCCACTTGTAGCACTAAATAAAGTGCCCTTATTCTCTTCACACAGAGGGCTACATTATTGCAGACAATTTCAGCCCCTCTTCCATCATAAATTATGAGTTTTAAAGCATCTAATGACGTGTCATGGTCATAAATCCAGTGATTTGTAATGTGTAGTAAAATATATCAAATTTATCTCTCTCCTACTACTTTTTGGTCATAGCACATCAAAAACAAGTAATACACCCTTTATATAATAGTTGTTGTACTTTGCATGCGCTATGCCTAAATAGTAGTCAGGGTTTGATACACGGTGCACGAGCCGGAGGTGAGTGCACTATGTGTCACACCATGACTACTATTTAGGCATAGTGCATACAAAGTACAAAACTATTGTTATTATTATGCTGACTGTTGTATAAAAACGACAATATTTTCTCCATTTCCAACGTTTCATCACCTCATGTTAGTACACCCCTATTATGACGTCACGTTGTGCTACATGTACGTCATAATCTTTTTTCTTTAATTTTGAATGTTCCATGTACAGAAAGTTTCAAAGAATTTTAGTTGAGTGAAGGGGAAATATTGCAAGAAACTATTCTAGAAAAAAATATTTTGTTTATTTTTTTACTTCTAGTGTAAAATATTTGAAACTAAGTTTATATATATTATAATACAGTGCTTCAGGTATCGGCGTCTGTTGCATAATCGGTAGCACGTCAGATTGACAATCTCGGGGTCGCGAGTTCGTTCCCCGGCGTGGGTGATGGATTTTCTTCAGAAAAAGAAGCCGTGCACTATTTCGGCTTAGTACGCTTACGCTGTATAAATCCTTAGAACACGTACTATGCGAAAATAGTTGAGTATTGATTTTATAGAGACAAACTGACAGGAAGCATAAAAATTTATTAATATGCTGTCTGTTTTATGTATTTCATAAGATAATTAACTTCGTAATCCCTAGCCTCTTTGAGGACGTTAAATCTAAATGAAAGTTTTCCTGAACATTCTCAAATGAAGAATAATATCAAAGAGCGTTTTAATGACTCAAAATATGTCATTTAATCTAACGTCAAATACTTAATAAAATTTTTCTTTAGAATCTATTAAAATGAAATAAAACGTTTGCTTTATTACTTTTTTAATTGTGAAAAAAACTACCTTGCTAAAATAAACTTTACGTAAGAGAACGGTTAATGTGGCGTAATGGCGTATTGGAATGGTTTACGCCGCACTATTTTTAGTCGCTAGGTGGCGCGCAGGAACCAAGGGGTATAGGCTACTTTTGCTTTACGTTTAACGTAAATATTTATACTATGCCCAAGTACTGTTGTGTGCCAGGTTGCTGCGGGTTTGGGGGGCATAAATTTCCTACAGACAAAGAGGCCTTAAAAAATGGAGAATCGCTGTCAAACGTATCGATCCTGTGACTAAGCAACTGTGGAAACCTGGTCCAAACGATGTTGTTTGCAGAGCTCATTTTGTGTCCTCTGACTACAAAAGCACGCTATTAGGTTAGTAAGAGAATTTGTAAAGAAAAAAAAATGTTCTGTAACAGATTAAGTTATGTTAATTCAAAGCAAATGCATTTTTAATGTTAAAAATTACTACGGAAAGTCCGAGATTCCTCCGACACATTTTCGTGAAAACACTCGTAAGCACATGTATCTGTGTCACAGAAATTTCTGATCAGCTTTTTATAATTAACATATTGATGTCATTTATTTTTATAGGATTTAAAATTTGTGCATGCACAGTCATAATGTCACTAAGCCCCTGCATAAATTAATTTTGTATATGAATATTATATACATCAGTCTACACTCCAGGAGTTGACCCCCATCCCCCAGTGGGATTTTATTTCTGTATGTCAAGTACATGCACTAATATTACTTTATTCTTTTGTTGATTTTTCTTTAAATAATGATGCTTTGTAGTTGTGTTTTGTTTTTGTTTCAGATGTCATCAAGATGTTAGTCCATAAATATTTCTGCACGGATAAGTAAAATTTTGTTATTTTTTTTTACTCATATACAATGCTCATAAATTAGCTTTCCAATTTAATCAATGTATCAATTGCTATTATTTAATGAAACACTGAAAGAATTTAATTAACGTACAAAATTTTTATCTACTTTCAGAAGAATGTATATGAAGTATTTAAATATAACTATGTCATATGTATGTATGTTTGTGTGTCAATTCTTATTTCTAATATATACATATTAAAGATTTCATTTTAAATATGAATGACACAAAAACTGGTCAGATCAATCAATCTGATGATTTTTTTTTATGATGTTGATATAATCACAATATATTTATTGTTTATAAATTTACAGGTGAACGAGCACGCCTTAAGGAGAATGTTGTTCCATCAGTTTTCAAATTTAAATCTTCATCTGAAGAGCGACGACGTGGAACCTCAATTTCAAGAAATAAAGGAAGCACGTCCACTATGTCTACGCCTTTTGATTACTGTCATGGTGTTCAGCAAGAGCTCACAGTTGAGTCTTCAAACAGCAGCGAGGAAAGTGTTAAACAAGTAGAAGTGAATTCAACTCAAGTTGAGAATTTTTCTCATGAGGGTATTCAATGCAGTCTTCTTCATGGTCGCTATTCAATTGAAAAGTTTAGGACAAACTCTAAGGCAATTAACTTTTACACAGGATTTTCAGATTTTGAGCATTTTGAATTTTTTTTTCATTGTCTTGGCCCAGCAGCTTCAGATCTAAAAAAAATCAACCAACTATAATTTCCCCCATTGATCAACTTTTCTTAACTTTGATCAAACTTCGCCAAGCCAGGGAGGATTTTGAATTGAGTCTTATGTTTGAGATTAGTGAAACAACTGTATCAAAAATAGTTATAATGTGGATTAACTTCATGTACTTTCAGCTAAAAGATCTTGATATATGGCCATCTCGAGATATCATTGATAAACATATGCCAGAGGATTTCTCCAAGAAGTTTCCCTCTACCAGGGTGATTCTTGATGCAACCGAGAAACCAATTCAAAAGCCGTCAGATGTAATTGCCCAGTCAGTTACATGGTCTGGATACAAGCATCGTAATACTTTAAAAACAATGATTGGTTGTACACCACAAGGTGCAGTTTCCTTTATTAGTGATTCTTTTGGGGGGTCTGCTTCCGACAGAAATCATCGAGTGTTCTGATATTACAAAGCCAGAATCAAACAGGTTTTTACCAAAAATTAGTATAATGGCAGACAGAGGTATAATGGTGCAAGATTTAATTGCACCCATGGATGTGTTTGTTAATACTCCAACCATGCTGAAGGGGAAATCTCAGCTTGAGCCAAAAGATGTTGTAAAAGACAGGAGAATTGCATCCAAACGAATACACGTAGAGAGGGTCATTGGTCTTAGTAAAAGATACAAAATTTTATGTTCTCCACTTCCATCTAGCAAATGTGTTCTCGCATCAAGAATAGTGTTTGTTTGTTTTTCTTTGTCAAATTTTAGGAAACCAGTCGTGGATGGTTATGCCTGAGTGAGTAAATAAATTAAAAAGATTTTTTTCCATAATTTATTATTGAAAAAATGGTACGTTTTCTGGTACACGTCAAAACAGTCTTTTATAGTGCAAGACATTGCCAAATTTACAACCTTGATATACAAAGAGTTTTAATGTAATTTTTCCCTTTCAAGAATCCTCTAAAAGTGGGAGCTTGAATTTGTTACATTGAGTCATCTCTTGAAACATGTACATTGTACAATATATTCTGAATGTCAAAATCTTATTTAGTAAAATTATAAACAAGAAGCAACATAAGGTCTAAAGTGTTTCTTGTAGAACATTTCCAACTTTGGCAGCAAACTGAAACTGAAGTAATCATCATTACACTGAACCTTGAGAATCACAATATCACAGAAAGTAAACACAACAAAATGACAAATTTTTCTTCTAGAAAGAAAGAGCTGTCCTTGCACTTGATCATAATATTTATGAGATTGTTTAAGTGTAACAGTGCCATCAGATAATTCAACAAGGAATGGGAATTTCTTCCCAGGTTCGATTTCCTCATTTCTACCAGTATAAGGACATTTAACTTCAATAATGGCATCATTGTCTACCAACCAATCTGGTGTTGCACCAACAAATGGATAATCCAAAGACACAAACAGCCTACATCTTTGAACTTTGAGACCAGAAATTTCCTCAAATCTACATATAGCTTTGTTTTCATATTGTCTACCATGCATGATAGGTGAAGTAGAAATTAAATTTGTTTGATATAAACTCGAACAAAGTTTTCGTGTGTCTCTGCGGCAAGTTATTTTTGCAATGTCTCCGAACCTGGATGCTGTTAATCTCCATTCTCTTTCACCAAACCATTGTTTGCTTTTAGTTTGTAACTTTGTAGTTTTCTCTATTGTCTCTGCTTTTTCTGGAGTTACCATATATATAGGTAAACATTCATTTTACACAAAGCTAGTTATTGAGCAATAAGCAATACTGAAATAAAGGATTTCAATTAAAAAATACTTACACACAGTGCTCTGTCTACAATATATTCTGTAAAGGGGAGTTGAAGGTAATCATGATCTCTACTTGCAACCTGAAATAAAAACTATACTTCTTTATTTATTTATTAATATCTATAGAAAGAATTCATTTATTTTTTAAACTGAAACTTAAAAAAATGGAAATTTCTCAGTAGGATATGAATGCCCCACAAAGGTACATTTGTATTTTAAAGTGAAGAGAAATGTGTGATTTTTTTTTTAAATTATATATTAAGAGAAAAATGAGGTGTGTGTGAAATAATTAACAGGGAAGGTCAAGGTGAAAATAATTATGCCACAGTTGATTAGGCTAGCTCTCACCAATATAAGTGTATGAATTTGGTTTATAAATAAATCTTAAACAGTTTCTTTGAAACTGAGTTAAACACAAAGTGTGATGGACCAACAGACGGAAATGACAAACACTATATGCTCCTGCCATATTCATAATGGGGCATAAAAATCCCAAGAAATAAAAAGTTCTTTACCAGAAGACTTGTAGAAGGTGTTGAATATCTCATAGTGATGTCCATGGAAGAGGCAGAACAGTAGTTGACCATGCAATTGTAAACATAACTGGAGTATCCTGTGGCATATCTTTTATACTTTTCCTTCCTTGGGTCTTCAAGCATTTCATCAGAGATTTTTCTTTTCCACGGGATTTTCTCAGCAACCAGTGGCTTACCTGGATGATAAAATTTGAATTTTAATAGGTCTATATAAATTTATGAAAGTCATTTGGAAATCCTCAAATTTTTAGCCCTGAAATCCATTACTGTTAAATATTAGCAGAAAACACATTAAAATAAATGCTCAGTTATCACTATTGTTTAATAGAAGGTTTTCAGTAATATACAAACCTTCATACATTTTCTTAGGCACATGGAAGTTCTGTAGATTTTCTGTACATCCTTTCATTACAGAAATCTCCCCCTTTTCGATGAATGCTGCCACCATCAACAAAACAGCTCCAATATGCTTGCATGTCCCATGGGGCCCTTTCCCAGCTGGGCACTGACAATGTGAATTTAAGGGTTCCCCATGGGTTTTTCCGAGCCTAATCTTAAAAATATATGAAACCTGTAAGACAAAAAGAGAAGTGTTAAATAAAAAAATATGGTAAGACTAGGTAAAGGCAGGGACTTATATTATATAGGTCCCTGGTAAAGGTAACATTTTTTTAATTACATGTATAAGACTTTTGTATATTATTTATTAAGTTTGCACTAGATGCACAACTAATTATGAATGGTTCTGACTATTTTCAGTCTTTATTTACTGAGAAAGAGAGTAAATCATTGTAATACAGATTCAATACTGATCAGATTTGAAGTAGCCAATTAAGGAAAAAATAAAACCTTTTGTTTCATAGCTTCACCAACTATTCCAGACAGGTACACATCATCCAAGACACACACACTGCAGGCTAAAATTCTGTTACCCTTCAAAAGATCTTTTCCTTTCTCCAGGGCCTTAATATCTGATGTCATTTGTTTATCTTTTAATAAGTAAAAATTATAATATATATGGGTTTTTTTTACATTGTCAATAAAAAACCTAAAGTGATATTAACAGATTGCTTCATTAAAGAATCATTCTGTACAAGAAATAGTTTTCAATCTGGGTAACTGATAATTTTGGAAATAGTAGTCTGTGTTCTTGTCGCAACTGCTGGAAGACGCATGTAGGCCAAAACACATCTACTTGTTCGGGTATTACAACAGGGTCTTGTCTAAAATTCTTGTTCCGGTCGTATGCTTCAAGCCTGCATTATTGAGTATTGAAAAGAGTGTAAGCGCAACTGAATCATCTTCATTATCACTAAATAAACCAGGGGAAAATGTATTTGATTTTGCGCGAGTGCTATATTAACACAGGTCGACTAACTGAGTAACTTGGTATGCGACAACATTGTTTACGTATGGTGAAGGTTTATTTCGACCTGTAATATTATTTTTCAGTTATAAATATATCATATCTTTGAAAAAAATACTCTTACCTTTCAATTAAATCAATCTTTCTCCAAGTAGTCACGGCGCCTCTTTGTGAAAGTTCACATTTTAATCGCGGTACCGTCCAGTGTTTGTAATTATCCGCCATGTTAGTTTTCTATACCCCTCGCGCGCCACTTAGCGAGTAATGACGACGGCGTAAACTATTCCTGAGTTCAACCCCTAGCGAGCGTGGTGAAATTTTCTCTAGAAAAGGAACCTGTACACTATTCTACGTAGTATGCTTAGGCTATATAAAGCCATTGCATACTATGCAAAAATATTCAAACCTTATCTGGTTAGCGTTATATCTAAGAAGAATTCGATTTATTGGATCCTACATCTACAATTGTGTTAAACATTATTTTATAATGTTACATTTCAGGTATCACGGAGGCACTGCAACAGTTAAAGATTTCCAATGGTAGGGATAAAGCTCTATTTCGCTCTTATTATTAAAAGGAAAATATGAATGCTTATGATGGGTATTCTTGATTTTCATTTAAACAGTATTTCAAACAATAATTTATTATGTTATATACTTGTTTTGAATTGGCAACTGGCAATAATTCAGTTTCTGTATGTATTATCTTTGATAATACCACCAAAACCACTGCATGTAATATATGAAGCCCGCTTTTGATGTATGATGATTTATTTTAATCATTTTTTCCCTTTAATGAAGACAGAGATTTGAAATCCCAATCAGCATTTTCTCTGTCGTTCTAAACAACAAAGATGCAAAAGTTCAACACTATACTGCATGCTTTGAAACTTGTCAATACCAAGAGCTTGTGTTCTATAGTACTTGGAAAGTGCTGATAGAATCGAATGGTTCTGATTGACAATATCTATGTAGTTCAGGTCTTCCAAAAATCTGTTGGAATACCCATGAGTGCCAATTGCGCCCCCTTATTAGCAGACCTATTCTTGTATTCATATGAAGCAGAATGTATTCAAAATCTTCTACATGAGAAGACGACACTTACTGTGACCTTCAACTCGATATTTATATATAATTTATATACAATCAATTAACAATAGTTACTTCCATTCATATGTCGACTCGAGCTATCCCAGTGAACTTGATATAAAAGATTCCACAGGATCTGACACATCTGTTTCATATTTAGATATTTTACTAGAAAAAAAGACATGAATGGTAACCTAACAACAAAACTTCTGATAAACAGGATGCCTCCTTTTTCTCAATCGTCAACTTCACTTAATTTGGTATACATCTCGCAGTTGATTCGATACGCAAGAGCATACTCTACGTACCAACAGTTTCTAAAACAAGGCAAGGAAAAAAGTTGATGAAACAACGTAAATTTGTTTAAATAAAAGTTGAAAGTCTTCTAAAGTTTACTATAGAAAAAGAGAAAAACAGCATCAGGTATAGGTCAGTACAGGGTGGGCTCAATAAATACTTCAAAAGATCATCAAAAATAAGAAAAGGAAGAAAGGCAGCTTCTTTATATTTTATAATCCTCAAAGTATTCATTGTTGACCTTTAAACATGTCTTAGAACTTTGTTTCGATGACCTGAACACAACAACATATTCTTTTTGGGGTAGCTCAAAATGAAAGCACTCCTCAGGTCAGATCAAGAATTTGTGTAATCTTCTTTTGATTTTCTTTTTTGAGTTTGTGGAATAGAATATGAGGTTTTAGAACCTTTCGTTAGTGGAAAAAAAATTCACGGCTTCTACATTTATTATGATGCACTTTATGTTGTTTTACTTATTAAACGTCCCTCGTAAAGTGACTCAAGGGATTAAAAACGATGTAGAAATAGCGAATATGATTACTATGACAAAATAATTTGAATATAAGGGTGAATTAAATAAAAATTACCAAACACATATTTATCGATCTGCACTAAAAATACAGGCAATGGGAATACATTTCTATGTCTCAGCATATGTCTTTAGATAGTGTCTAAATACCAAATATATCATTGATATCTAAATTCACAAAGACGTTATGCCCAAGAATGATGCAAAAAAATGTCAGGAGTTTAACACTTTTTGTGACATTTGAAAATTCAATAATTTTTGAAGATCTGTGAAATTAATAATAATGGTTTATGTTGGAAATAAAGACTTTCCTGATAATACTCAAAGTATTGAGATTTAAATTTAGCTACATAGACTGTAGCAACTTTTGATTGACCAAGTTGTGGTCATAGCTGATGTTGAAAAAAAAGTTATACCAAGTCAGGAGTGCAGTATATGAAAATTAGTGTTGCCAAAAAACACCGATTTAAAAAGGTGGAAGACAGTTAAGTCAAAAAAGAATTTTGAAAGTGTAAAACAATAACTGATACACAATTTAAAACTTAAAAAATGTTATATAAGTCACAAGCAGCATTAATGAGAGTCAAGTATCTGTGCATACTCAATAATGTCAGGAGTGCATCATTTGATGTTTTTCTCCCCAGCTTAAAAAAAATCTTTTATCGGTATATGAATCTCTGATTTCTATTTTTGAAGATAAAACACAAAGAACATTTTTACCAAAAACATTTATCAATTACAGGGTTTCAGATCTATATTTCTATGTTCAGGAGTGCAACACATTCAGGTTATATAATGAAAAAGACTTCTATTCTTGCTAAGAAATATTTTTTAATTAATAATGATCTTTTTGAATAATTTCATACTAAATTATTGACATTTTTAATATTAAAATCCTTCTTTTTTTATATTATAACTTCAGATGTGTTTTTATCTTTTGTTTGATTTTTTATGAATGTAAAATAAACAGACTGAAAAATTGCTATGAAAATTAAGTAATTCCACCTCAACTACACTGAAACAATTGAACAAGTTTTGATGTAATTTTTGCTTCACAATTCTACTTTAAAGACTCCCAAGCTCTTGATCAGGAGTGTAAGATATATGTTAGAATAATTGCTGAGCAAATATGAATAAACAAAAGAAAAAATTGATGAGTAGAATGTTTCTGGTTGACCTCCGTTGCTAACAGTGTTTGTCCCGTGAAAGAAAATATACTATATCTTCCAAATATATATTGACATAGATAGGGAATAATTCAAAACATGAAGCCAAGTTTATATACTTTCATGTGTTTGAATGATGAAATATTGGACTATAAATATTGCAAAATTTCGTTACCACTTAAATTTGCCAACACTTTATGAATGTTTGTGTTCTATGGTTTGAATATTTAATTTTACTGCAGTCAGGAGTGCAATAAAACCGTTTTATAATTATCAATGATCTTCATCTATCTTAACTAAAAAATAAATTGCAAAAATTGTTCGATACTATTTGATGTTTAAAACATTATGTCTATCAACTAATTACAGACATTTTACAGTTCATTTAAAGAATAGTTTTCATCAACTATCACATATTTTTAAATAAATAAATAAATATATATATATATATATATATATATATATATATATATATATATATATATATATATATATATATATATATATATATATATATATATATATATATATATATATATATATATATATAAAGACTCCCTTTTGACACTCTGACTACAAATTGATATTAACTGTGCATCTTTCATCTCTCTGAAATTTTCTGGATATTAAAACAAATACTCTGGATGCATTCTTTTTTTTTGTAGCCAGTTAAAACATTCACTAGGTCTATACTAGTTTTTCCAGGTGCGAAACTTAATAGAATGTTGAAAAAGAAACCCCTTCTTCTTTTTGACGACATTTTCAAGCTCTTTATTGTTTGGAACAACATATAAGATTTACGATAAAAGAGCTAGGTTCACTTTATGCATAAAATGGCCCTGTAGATATACCAATTTATTGACTAATACCCCGTGTACCATTTTCAACATTATTATAAAGTAGACACTTAGTGCTTTCAGTTTATACAACAGAATTTCCTTTGAAGAGTCCAGGCATTGAGAAACAGGTTGTGTGAAATTGCAATGTTATTGAATTTCGCAGAAAACAGGTGTTTTTGAGAACCTTCAGCAAAGAATTAAAATATGAGCACACCCCTCGATCCAAAAATTAAAATATGTTTTATAATCTTCATTAACAGTTCTTTTACAATATATTTACACATTTTGGATCGGAGGCTGTGCTGTATATGAAATATTGAAACCTGGCATCATAATTTGGCTATTTTTGAAGAAATATTCAGGATATGTAAATAATGACGCAATTCATGACGACATAATGCATTGACTAGAAAGAAAATTACGTCATTTTCAGTAGATATTCATTCACCAAGTGCTCAAGTAATATTTATTGCCTTGTTGACTAAAACTATACAGTTTTGAATTTTCAGAAATTCACAGGGCCAAAAAAGGCCCTAAGTTGCTCTTGCTCTTTCATAGATCTTACAGAATGGGTTAAAAATTGCAAATTTTACGGAACAATTGTGTCGTACCGCATGGCTGAATAAAAGGGATTTTTATGATGACAAATGCTCATATCAAAAGAGTTTTTCTCAATTACACTCATGTAGAAAAAACGTCATATTTGAGGTTGCGACACCTGAACATACCATTGCTTACAAAATATTAACAATTTATTTAAGAAATGAATTCAATTTTTGAAGATTCGTGAGGACATGAACTACGAAGCTTCACGCCGGCATATTTATTATGAAGCGCTAACGCGCTTCATCAAATATGCCGGCGTGATGCGTTGCAGTTCATATACTTCATGAATATTCAAAAATTAAATTCATTTCTTATATTTACATTATTTTTCTGATGAGTTTCCACAAGTTACGCCATTCAACTGTCATTTTTGAAGCAAAACAGTTTGCACTATAGTTTTGACGTCAAGTACGGTATAATGACGTAACAATGGAGATATTCATGCTCATCCATGGTAGTTCATGAGAAAATGAACATCATTCTAATTTGCAAAGAATCATAAGAAAAAATATTTGGAAATGTAAATATTAAAGAATGAAACTTTTGATTTATGGTTTATTCTGTAGATAGAAAAGATGATATTAAATAAATGTATTAAAATTCATTAATATACCTAAAGCGATTTTAATGTTAGGGCGCTAGTCCACGAACTTTTTTATAACCCCAGTATTGTTTCATATTTCTTTCATATTAAAACTTTTCAAACCAGAATTGAAAACAATAATAATCAAATAGCTAAAAAGCCAATTTTCGATCTAATCATTTATATCCCTGATACCATTTTGATGCATAAAAAACATAATTTCTTTTATATATTTTAGAAAGTCTATTAGGATGTAGTAGTATGTTCTTTTTTCAAATAAAGTTTTACTTTCTGAAACTTTTTTATCCAATTGGCTATTCTATTGAAACTTCAAGAATTTTAACTAGAATGCATGTTCAAAATGATAATATATTTATAAGGGAAAAATATGTTATGGTTAGTTGAATGTTTAAAAAAAATCAGTTTGGTGGTCGTTATTTTTTGATTCACCCGTAGAGTATGATATAAATGAGTAAAACAATAATGTGAAAAGATATGTTATCTTTAGTTTAAAGTCACTGAATACCCTAGACAATGCTTGTAAAATTTTGTTGGAGCAATAGGAATCACAGTGTACGTAAACACAAAGTCTCAAAAAATAAAAAAAAATATTTTAAAAATTAAAATCAATACACATAAAGGTTTTTTTTTTTGTTGCTTAATCATGCAACTCATGGTGCTCCATCCATACTTTTTTTTCACTACAACTTTTGTTCACTATCTTTTGTAAAGAAAAGGAAACCAAAATAGTAAAGAGTTTGAATACTGACTGTGATCTTCTGTTTTGTCATCTATATTGAGAGTCACATATCATCAGCTACGTCAACGTAAAAATTCAGATACCAAACAGTGATTAATTTCATAAATGTAGTAACAGAACGAATTGTGAACTGGGCAAAACACCTGGAAACACCAGAGGTTGTATCAAATGCCAAAGAAGTGTAAGCATTCCCTGTCGACTGGTTACACATCGGTCATGAACCCAATATATTTGGCACAAAAGCAATGACCTAAAATTGTACATGATTGTATAAACATTTTAGACAAAATATGATCCAAGGATGGGTTGTATTTATAAACAAGGCCATTATAAGGACCGTAGAAATTACGAAGGCTTAGGTTTAGGTCAGACGACACGTTCCTCAATATAATATAATTTTTCCAAAGAATTTGTCATTGAAGTACTGCTATTTTAACAACTTTCTACACAAAAAATAGTGTACATTACCAGACATTTGTGCAAGATAACAGAAAGTGGTGTTTCCTTTTTAATCCTATTTGAATCACTCGAATTGTTATTATCACAATTTTTTATGTATTTATTTTCTAAGACATTCTTAAAACATTTTTTGAAATCACAAGATAATATTAATACTACTATAATGAATATTTCTTATATATTACAAGGAAACACAAAACAGACATTTGAGGAACGTGTCATCGGACCTCAAAGAGATTGATGAAATCCTTGTGAAATCAACTGATTTGACTGTAGGTTGCCCCATTTAAAGACTTATCGTATGCTCTTGCGTATTAAATTAATTGGAAGGCCTAAACACTATATGCGGTTGGTGTTCGAATATTACTACATAAATGAAATAATCCGGTTTGTCATAAAGTGTAGTTATTATTTGGAAATCATCGTAGACGGTAGAGCATCCAAATATGTAGGATGTGACAGACTCTGTAGCTTCTTTTATTCTAAACTAACTTGAATATATGGAGTCGACATCTGAATGAAAATACTTGTTTATTGATAAAATGTTGTCGAAAGATCTGAATGCTGAGTTAAAGGCCAAAACAAAAGTTTTCTTCTTCTCGTGAAGAAGTTATTGAATAAAGAACTACTCACGCTAACTCTCGATTCCCGCCTACATTTTAAACCCATTTAATCCAATACTAATCGCAATTTGGCCATAAAATCTTTGTTGGAATGCAAAGAACAGTACAATGGTAATTGACTGATAATTTTAATACAAGTGTTAAATAGTTAATTACCCCTAATTCCAGCTCTTTAAATAAGGGGGTAGACAATTTTTTCCATTGAAATCGGGCTTTAAAGCATCACCACATTTTAAAATATTCTAGGATATGAATAAATGTTCCTTAAATCATTTCTTATGTTTAACCCATATAAAATTAAGCATATATTATTAATAAAATACAATGTTTTAGTTGTAAACCCATTTGAAATTGGTGGAAAAATAAGCATTTTGGTAGGTTTTTTTTGTCTGTAGACATATGTTCCCCCCGTGAAACACAAAAAGGCTTTGGTATGAATTTGTAAATTGACAGTCCATATTACCTTTAAAAAGGACTTTATGTTTCACGGGGGGGGGGGGGGGAGATGTTTTAAAAATAGTTTCCGTTTTCCGTTGATTTCTATAGTGAAAAAAACAAGTTTTACCAAAATTATAGAGTTATCTCTCTTTATTTTCCCAAAAAAGTAATGTTTTATGAAAACTCATAAATATCTATATAATTATGAAAAATCTTTCAAATGTGTTAGCTTTTGAAAATTGACTTGGAGGTAGGCGGGAGAACAATACTATCGTTCACAGTTCTTCTGCTTCACAGGAATATGAAAACAAGTCGCCAATTAATGGGGAACCGTCAGTTCCTATGTGAATTCCAACCGGTTTTCGGAATACCTGTAGACCTTTTCACAAAAATTCTTACGATTTATCGTAAGATTTTGGGTTACGATTCTCTTAAGTTAATTCTTAAGTCAGTTTCACGAACGCATTCGTAAGATCGAAAAAAATCTTAAGATAAATCTTGCGATTTTCGTCTACGACGCACTTAAGATTTCACTTACAAGAAAAAGCTTCCCTGACAACGTACTTTCAATTTCATTTGCTCATGCGTATTGCATACTTCCGTGTTTACATCTGTCGTCTGAGAACTATGTCAATTATGTCGAATTCTAAAAGAAAGCCAAATTGGAGTGGATCTGAAATTGAGGCTCTCGCACAGGCTGTGGCTGAGAATATAAGAACAGTGAAGGGGAAGTTTACCCCCGCCCTGACGCAGGACGTGAAGAATAAGTGCTGGAATGCCATAACGGAACGGTAAGTTGTTACGGTTTCCCCCTATGTATATATATACACTAGCTAAACTAGGACAACTTCCGTTGATCTTTAACAAAGAAGCAATAGACTGGATATAAATGTTGAAGATATTTTTGTTGCACTTTTAGTGCACTGTCCTTAAGAAGACTGACTGCAGAAGGAACAATTTAAAGGGAGTTTTAGACCTTTATTAAATTGTGTGGATGTTATAACAGAAAAAGAATTTCTTCTTCTGTTTTTTTGTTCTTCTTCAAGAAGAAAAAAAAACGACCAAAAATGTTGATCATGTATAGAACCACACGTCAAAATATGAAAGTAGGGGTTAGAAAATGAGAAACTTTATGATGTAAAGATAATGATAATGATATATGAATGAATTTGAAGTAATAGGTATATATGATTCATCTTTAATCTAAAACTTATCTTTCAGCTAGCTTTCCTCTCATTTGAACATGTTAAAAATGTCACATATAACACTTAACTTTGTTATTTCTTTAAAAATGAAAAAAAAAATGAAATATAAATAAATTTAGTTTCATTAAAATGTTAAAATTGTGAAAAGCATGTAAAAGCATGTAAAAGATTCATGAGTATATATCTAATCAGAAAGAAAATCAGTGAGAATAATTTTGAAAATACAAGATTTTAATTTGACCTACTACGGGAAATTTTTGTTTATATTTATAATATATACAATACCAGTAGGTATTCAAAATACAATACCAGTAGGTATTCAAAATACCTAATATTATGCTGTATACCATATATAAATCTCCAAATTGTGTTGTCAATAATCATGAACAAATTCTGTTCAACTTTCCATATTATCCCTCTTTGGTAGCATATAATGGACATATGAAATACATGTATCTATTATTATATCAATCAGTTTTTTTTTAATCATTGATGAATTTTCTAAGTTACTATGTATTTTGCTTTAGAGTCAATGCTGTTAATGACTCTAGAGCAAACAGGGACACTGCAGAAGTGAAAAAGAAATGGCAAGACTTAAGCAGTTTGACTAAGAAAAAGGAGGCTGAGAGGATTAAACATCGCAGAGTTACAGGAGGAGGACCCGCGATGAGTGATCATGATGTAAAGCCATGGGAACAACTGGTAAATTTTTGTACTGCATTTATTCAACACAGTCTGTTTTGAGGTATATTATACTCATATTATTTCAAAAAAACATTCTATAGATGCATTAGTATTAGTATTACATGAATATTATTTAAATAATTATAATCAACACAGTGTATACATTTCAAACTTCATGTATGCACAATGTATAAACTGGCTAATTCAAACAATAACATACATCATTATGACTGCATGTAGATCATTGGAACATTTTCCAAGAGTGCTCTGGAGGGGGTGCAGGGAGGAATCGATACAGGGACACCAACCGAGCGAGGTACATATAATTATATATAATTTTTTCAATTTCTTCTTCATTTTTATGTATCATTAAAAAGGAAACCAAGATAAGTGAAAAAGAATTTCATTAACTTATATTGTGAAATCATAATAATACAATTTACGGGCACAATTATATAATCTCAATTACACTATAATACATTTTACAGAGACATCATACCCTTTTGAAGAAGCTGTTGAAACTACTCCAGCAGTAGGTATGTATATACCCTACCTCAGAGTATAAGTTCTGAAGATATTACTTTTTATCACATTTACCACATAATATCCTGTGGATATCACTCATTGGATATTTTTTCATATCCCACTGCTGTGACGTCACAATGGGTTTTGCATGAAAGTGGTGATTAGAAGTAAAATAATGTGGATTCATATGTTAAAACACTTAACAGTGTAAAATATTGATAGTGATGTAATTTTATTTGATAGTTAGACAATCTGAATACAGTAGGCTTATCTAATATGTATAAGATAACTGTTATTATACAATTGCAACAGATGGACTGTAATAAGTAATATTAATACTGCAATTCATGTAATTTTAGACACTTGTGAAGAAACAAGTGAGGAGTTTGAGACAGGTAATATATATTAATTCATTATTCATCCACTGAATAAATAATTATGAAAAGTGGTTTTAATAAGGTGTCATTTTTAAACATCTATCGGGATATAAATATGGGTTGGTTTCGAGATCAAATTCCATAAAGCCCAAAGGGCTTTATGGTAAATTTGATCTCGTACAAACCCGTATTTATATCCCGATATATGTTTTAAAATGACACCTTATTACTTATATTTACATTTGTGACTGATTTATAATACAATTCTGCATAATTTTTCACTCTAACTTATGAAATGTTTTATTTTTCAAATCTTAAAGGCACAAGTTTGATCGCGTCGACCCTTTATGACGTCACCGAGAAATTATGTCGAACATTTATGACGTGAGAAACCTGTGTTTATACAGTGATAGATACAAGTTGCTTAAACAGTGTTATATAAAAGGGAACATTTGGAAATGTAAATATTATACAAATATTGACTGAGGTTGAGGGCAACATTGATTTTGTTAGCCTCCAAGGGATGAAATATTGCCTGACGCAGAGCGGAGGGCAATATTTTCATCTCGAGGAGGCTAACATAATCAATGTTGCTTGAAAACACAGTCAATAATTGTTTTGTTATATGAAAAACAAATCATTCAAATGGTATTCTGTTTTAAATGAATTATCTGCAACTTGACTGTATACTAGTGATACAGAGTCTTGCCTTGATTGTGTTACTTGGCTTTTTAATTGGGACGCTATGTTTTTGGAAGTCTCGACGGTATCATAACGTCACAATAAATCAATCTTCTAATCAGAATCCAAATCAATAAAAATGTGGGGAAACTCTCTTTGCCGGTCAATAGTGAAAATTAAATGACCATCAATATTTTTCGTCAGAGATTATATCAATTTTGTTGACTGTTTCTGTATATAGAAAATATATATATATATATATATATATATATATATATATATATATATATATATATATATATATATATATATATATATATATATATATATATATATATATATATTACATTTTCAACAGTGAAATACTGTGATTTATTTATTGAATAAAAGTGATATTCTCTCACAGTGTGAAAGGATACCAAAATGATATTCTCTCACAGTGTGAAAGGAAATCAAAGTAAGTAAAAATAATTTCTGGACTGTAATAAGATAGAGATAGTAACTTGTTAGAGCTAAAACTGCAAATTTCTTCCCAAATATGTTGCTGAAAACCATGCTATGTAATGTTTTCAATCTCAGAACTGCTTATCTGTGACGTCTCAACCGCTCAACTATGACGTCAAGCCTATGACACTTTGTAAAGAAAAGACATAGGCAAAGGGGAAATCAAAGAAAATGTAATAAACAGAAAATTCAATGTTTTGTAGATGAATATGGAATTTATTTCACTCGTGAGACAGGATTTTTTGATATTTTCACTCGTGCTTTGCACTCGTGAAAATATCAAAAAATCCTGTCCCACTCGTGAAATAAATTCCATATTCATCTACAAAACATTGAATATCCCCTATATATATATATATATATATATATATATATATATATATATATATATATATATATATATATATATATATATATATATATATATATATATATATATATATATATATAATTATTATATATATATATATATATATATATATATATATATATATATATATATATATATATATATATATATATATATATATATATATATATATATATATTTTATTACGTATTTATATGTAATAATATATATATTACGTATTTATATATATTAGTGATAATTCATCTCTTTTATTTATTTAGGTATTTTTGCAAATTCTCTACCCTCTGCAGATGGAGCAGCTGCATACCCGTCCATACAGAATAAGAAAAAGAGAAAAAATCCTCAAAGTAAGTATGGATATTAATCTGATGATGAAGTTGGTATTTTTGTTTAAACACTGGTTTTTATACCAGTAGATTAAACTCATCTGAACAAGTTTAAGTGTGCAGTGCACTTTTCTGAAAGTTTTTCAAGTTTGCTCAGGTGATGGACCATAGCTCAAACCATTGGATACACTGTATCCAGTTTGAGATAACAAGGCTTGATTGTACATGTGCTCTTTGTCATATACAGTTGAACTTTGGTATGTTGAACATTGATATTTCAAATACCTTGCATGGATATGCTGAAATCATTTGGAAGTCCAAACCATTTTTCTGTGATTTAATTAACCTTTAATATTTTGAAAGCTCAGATGTCTTGAAGTTTTTTTCTCAGTCCAATAGAGTTCAAGTTAACCAGATTTAACTGTAATTATTCAATTGCTTGAAGTTGTGTGGATTCTAGTTTTTCCACATTAAGGACTCTGACTCTAAGCTTAAATTGGGGATCATCTTAGTCACATTGAAACTGCATGAGTAAGTTGTATAGATTCAGTTTTGATTAATCATATCCATTGGGCTAATGTTAGGCCATAATATGAGGTTAAAATTTTCATGGCATTAAAGAGGGGAAAGAATCTCATTAAGTTATCTTTTTCACAGGTAATGATAGTTGCAAATATGACATCAGAAGAGAGTTTCTTGATGGGGAGAAAGAAAAGAATGCGGTCCTTGAAGAGTACAGGAAGAAGAAGATTGCCTTAAATGAGAAAATTATTGAGCAGCAAAGTGAGATGATTGCATTGCAGAAAAGGACAGCAACAGCTTTAGAAGTTATAGCCTTAAGATGTGAACATACAGTGCAACCATCATCACCATTTTCAGTTTCACCTATCATTCATTTTAATACATAGTTTGATGTCTTAAATGTCATATATTTTACAGTTATGGATCTTTTCCATGGTGAATATGGTTTGTTACATGTATTCATCAGAGAAATATAAATATTGACTGTATTATAACATAGCCTAGATTTTAATAACAAGGCAAAACAGAGTGTGTGACAATAGCATTTTTATTAACAAATTTCTGTTGCAGAAAGATTAAAAATGTCCAGATTACAAGTTGTAAATTCCATTTCTTATCTCTATAGATTTATATAGGAACTATAAATAGACTGTGAAATAATATTTTTCACATTATGGTATTTTTTTTACAAGGGCAAGTACACAATTTATGGATACATATATTTTCAATCTTTGATCACTGAGAATATTTACCATTTAGGATAATAGAATTGAATGCATAGAACTAATACTAATACTAAGGTAATTTGTATGAATCAAGTATCAATTTCAAACTGTACATGTAGGAATATTTTATGCCAAGAGAGATATTCACTGCAAAGGTAAATTTTCAAATCATATGTGTGATTATTTATAAGTATTCTGTTTTAATTTGGATAAGAGTGTTGTGTCTGATTTATGTTGTTGCTCTCCCTTTGCTGCAGTACAGTTCTCTCATATTTTCCTATTCCTTATATAAACGCATGGAAAATTATTATGTACATCATTGTATGTTAATTTTAAATACTGTCTATTTCAAGGGGAAATATCTTTTATCTTAATGTGCTTATTTTAACACTTCTACCTCAAATCCAATGCAAGTGTTCTAATTTAAAAAGTTATGCCCCTTATTAGCTCATCTGGGCTTTCTGAGGTAGTGTAGATTCTAATTGCTCAAACCATGGCCCCTAGGGATAGGGTGGGGTCACAATAGGGAATTCGAGTTTTTGCATTGAAATACATAGGAAAAATCTTCAAAGATCTTCTCAATAACTACTTGGCCAAAAAAGCTGAAACTTAAGTGGAAATATCCTGAGGTAGTTTAGATTCTAAATTGTTCAAATAATATGTCTCCCGGGGATAGGGTGGGGCTACAATAAGTATTACAAAAGGGAGACTCAGATGAAGAACAGCAGCAGGACCATAGTTACTCAGGTGAGCATTGTGGCCCATGGACCTCTTGTAGTTAATTAAACATTGTACATGTTACAAATTTTCTGAAATCCTATTTTTAAAAATGATAATTTTTTCACTTGTTTACCATTCTCATTGGTTGTTGAGGTTTAGAATTTAAAGAGGTGCTCAGGGTAGCTATTTCTTTGCAGTAAATGGTGAGAAATATTTTTAAAAATATATTGTTCTTTTACAAAATTGATTAAAACACTGTTTTAGGATAGTTCCATGTATGTGAGCTCTTTATTTGTAATAATCTTGAAAACAACACCAATCCATGCTCATCAATACATAGAGATACATGTAATAAAAGCTTTGGTAAATTTAAATACAAGTGTACATACATTGTACTTTTATTAAATCAATCTCATGTTGGAATATTTCATTGTAGTGTTCAGTACAGTTTGTACATAGGTATTCCATTGCTGTATATATTTGATTAATTTGTGAGTGGAGAAGAATAAGTTTATGTTTTTGTGTTATTTAACTTTCATTGTAGTGTTCATTGTTGTACATTTGTACATATGTTAAGGTATTCTAATGTTGTACATATTTGATTAATTTGCGATTAGAGAGGAATACCAAAATCTAAATTATTTTTGCAACTGTTGATGAGAAACTATATTTTAAAAAAGCACAGTGAAAATAGTTCAATCTAAGATATGAATTAATGTACATTATAAATAGATAGAGAAAAAAATCTTAAATTTATACAAAAAATACTTAATACCATTATTATTATATGTAGAATCGTGTTATACATGTACATGTAATAAACAGCAGCAACACACACACACACTATTTTGAAATGTAGACCATCATACAGGGTTCATCATATTTATGGTTCATTCATATACATGTACAGATTTATTTCTTGCTATTGGATAAAATGATTTTCATATACACTAATGATTTATTTATAAAAAGAGCTTAATTTTTATTTGATATTTATTGCTACTGATGTTCCACTAAAATAATTCCACAAAAACAGATTTTATTGACAATACAGTATATTAAAATAATTTACAATTTCATTAATTGACTTTGTATGTTATGTTTTCTCCCCTAAAATCTCTGTGAAACTGTTTGTCTCACCCCATAGCCATCATTGGCATTTCCTTGGTACACAGTGTTGTCATGGAGGATTGGGATTGGATCATCAGCAGCTTGGAGAGGGAGTCTTTCATTGATTGCTTTGTTATGGAGCCTGAGACAGCATTCTATAATTTTTATACTCTTAGATGCTGTAAACTGTAGACTCCCTCCTGTTTTGTGCAGGCATCTGTGAGAAGTAGTGAATTATTATCATAAAATAAGTAAATAGTCACTTGAAGTAGAGGAAAGTCAATGTCATAATTCCACAAACCTAAATCTGCACTTGAGCACTCCAAATGCTCTCTCTACTGTATTCCTGGTTGAGGCGTGGGCCTGGTTGTACCGTTGTTCTTGGCCACCTTTAGGATTGGTAAAAGGGGTCAACAGCCACTTTTTCAAGGGATATCCCGAGTCACCCAAGATCCATCCATTTACTCTTCCCATTATTTGGGGTACAGATGAATTGGCTAAGACAAAGGAATCATGGGTTGCCCCAGGCCACTTCACCACAATATTGGTAAAACTGAAAGAATATGGAACTAAGTATATAGAATTAAAAATTAGAACTACAAGATTAAAATTTGTGGTTTTCTCCCTATTTTTCCAAGGATTGATTGATTTTTTTTTTCCTTGAGTTAAAGTCAATTAGAGGATGAACTTAAGATGTCCATATATTCTGCAATTAATATATAATTACCGAAGGTCTGCGTCCACAACTCCCTGCACGTTTATTGAAGGGAAACCCTTACGGCAGATGAAGTTGGGTTCCTCATCTCCAGACATGCCCTGTATGGGTATCAAAGTGCCATCTATAGCACCAACTACATTAGGGAAGTGTGCAATCTTGTAAAATCCATCCTTGACTCTATTTAATTCATCCTGTGTGTTGGGAAAACTGATGTTGTCAAGGTGCTCACTCAGAGCCAGGCAGACGGAATGTAATATTCTTGATGCTGAGGAAACAGAAATTCCATGGAGGTCAGCCACTTCTGATAAGTAGTCCCCCTTTGCTAAAAAGCGCAATGTGATTAACACATTAAAGAATAAAAAAAATATTGTGATATATACAGTATACTTGGAATAAAGTGTTCATAATACATTAAAATATTTTGATTTTTGCGTAATTCCCCATTTCAAATTTATCTGAGGACAGTTTTACATTAAGAACAGCTAGGAGTACATGTGATTAAACTAAATTTTAAAAGGAATTCATATACACAGATTATGCTGGGAAAAATATCTGCAGTGTATAGTACATGTATATCTATATAAAAGTATTAAAGTTATACTTTTAAAAAACTTTGAAATATATGTTGGAGAGAGATGATAGAAAAAGACATTACAGATTTTCACATATGTTCTATTTTTACAGGTGAGCATTGTAGCCAAAACGCCATAGGCCTCTTCTTTAAAGTTAATGAAAGTATAATAAATAAGCTGCTGCATAGTCTCTTAAGTATACATTAGCTTATAAGCTAAAATATTCATATAGGAATATAGAGCAAAATCACTGGGTGCGAAAAATAGACATAGTACAATATTAATAGGAACCGTTAGCTCTCTTGGATATAGAGATAAAAATACTGTGAAAACTTACTTGTATGTGAGCAGGAATTGCAGAAGACTGGGAGGTAGGGTGTTGTATGGCGTTTTTCGTTAAATTGGTTAGTTCTAAAATAATTTGTCTTGGGAAACGGTATCTGGCAATCAATTCGTCGTCAGTGAATTTGTCTAGTGAGTCTATTCGGTCGCAAAACACCCTCTCCCGACGAAATGCTCGATCATTTTGGAATAAGAAAATAAAAGCAGCCATTTTTGTTTATTTAAGACAAATCTTACGATAATATTTTGCTCTTACGAATTATTTATCGCACTTACGAGAGGGTTAAGGGTCTCGTAAAGTTACTACAGATTTTACACTTAAGAATCTCTTAAGAATTTTTGTGAAAAGGGACAAAATCGTAAGTTTTCTCTTACGATAGAAATTAATCGTAAGAATTTTTGTGAAAAGGTCTACTGGTCTCCAGAGATTACATAAATGTTGTCAATGATGAACTCGAGCCTCTTTTTTGATATAAAGTTAAGAGTCCTTGTATTTCGAATCAGAATGATTTTTAACAAGGCAATCGTGTAGAGGACTAATCACAAGATATGGAAATTTAGTTCCATTTTAATTTAGGAAGCAATTTACAATGATGTCAAAAATCCTCCCTGAATATGTTTTGAAAGAATTTCATCCTCAGAAAGGAAACGTTGGAAATAAGTTGGATAATCCCTATTAAAATTTAATCGAGGTTGAAACGATTGTAATAATGAGCTAAGACTATGTTGTTTCCTGCCAGGTGGGACTAGTACAAATTTATCAAGTAATTAATCCAATTCCTTAGAGATTTATGAATGACTGACGACAGAAAGATATATGGTTTTCATACTACCCCTTAGCGGCTTTAAATGAGACTTTAACATCCAACTAATACTTTTAATCCACTCTGACACAGCTTTCTTTATCATGTATGGCCCACCTCCTGGTTTTATCTAATAGTATATCTATAATAGCTGAAAACACTGTGAAGCATTATATACCTACTTGCTTTTATGTCAGCTATTGAATGTATGTCAGCTAAGAGGTGGAATAAAAGTTAAAGAAAAATTTTAAAGTTCAAATTTATTTTCTTAATTTTGTACTCTTTTAATGCTTAAAAACTTTTGATATGTTTAATAATATAACAATTAGAATTAAAAATTTGTTAAAGTAAATTCTGTTGCTATTAGTTTCATTTTCCCTGGACTAAACTTACTATTTCGCGACTCTTTATCTAGTACGTTACTGTTGATAAGACAACGAAAATCCGTCATGGATCAAGTTATTTTATGACAACTGTGGACACCCATAGGATGAATATATATCTGCCATTCAGTCACCTTCCCAGACCTTTCACTGACAACTCACACGATACATTTCTCCTGTGACAAATGCGTTTCCGTTCATATCAGTTTATATTAGAATTATATTATTTCAGATAAAATACTTACAAGATTGATTGCTATTCCCGCTGTCATTTTGATCATTTATGGCATAAAAGGTGAGAATACACTTGTAACAACAACATTGTCAAAACGTTTTCATGGCCAAATAACAACAAAATATTATCATACCTCCTCAGTCATCAATGTATCGTTGCAATTTAATCATGCATTATTCATAATCTTAACACAACACAATGATAATTCCTAAATTTGTAACATTCGAATAAATGTCACAACAGTCACACATTTAATTGCACGATTGTTTAGTTCAATTTTGTTGTACTATTTTGACCATATCTTGTAGAATTCCTGTCAAAACGTCGTAGGAATACCTAGAAGATAGAAGAAGTGATGTCCCTATTCGCGAATTGCTTTTGAAAACAAAGTGGCAGAAATGATTTTTTTTTATATAATAAGGGATCGGCAATAGGGTTTTTATTTGTGTGTTGACTAATCGACTAATTGATGTGTAGATTTCATTTTCACCCTAAATATAATAAACATATAATATATATTTAATTGGGGGGGGGGGGAGGGATATGGTTTTATTAGTTTAGTATTTGTGGATGTACTTGATTTCTCAAGTGTGGAAACTATCTTTTGATGCTAAATAAGTAGTGATGTCTAAAGCAATTATTATACATCTGCCTGTCTAAAACACCCTCTAGCTTGTAACTGATGAACACTTATCACATTCGTTGTATAGTTTGTTATTATAGATATGTGTAACTATTACAGAATGGTTTAATTTTCATAGTGTGCATAACATATTATCACTGTGCATATTAATCAAAGAGTACGACAGCTTCGAAATTTGATTTTATGAAGAAAAACGTAAGATACTGATTGTGCACACAAAGTGTCTTGATTATATCAAAATTTCACCCACAGTAGACGACTGATAGGATAAGTTACGCTAAACTGCACAAAACTTCTGTAACTTTTTGTAAGACGGCATTTTTTGTGAATTTATTTAGAAAAAGGATTGTCTGGTAAATTTATGTTAGCTTCATAAATATAAAGTATTGTACTTATTGTTTTATTTATTGTTTAACTACCGATGTTGCAACCACTGTTGAAATAACGACCACTATTGAAATAATTATTTCAATAGTGGTTGAGAGTGCATTTCAAACCAAACACAGGTTGTAACCACTATTGAAATAACGTTCACTATTGAAATAATTATTTCGGTAGTGGTTGAGAGTGCATTTCAAGCCAAATACAGGTTGTAAGCACTATTGAAATAATGTTCACTATTGTTTTCCAAATAATTTCATCAAACTCTTGCAAAATTGATGTAGTGGAGGAAATATAGAAAGAAAATCTACATTTACAATAAATTGCATTAAATCTATTTACAGGAGATTTATTTACCTTTTCTTTTTTTAAAAAAAAACTTTTTAAACTCTATGTTATCTTAGATAATCTATATGCATAATGCCATACAATAACAATACTTAATTAACACAGACATTTGTAAGCACTTCTTTCTAATATTCAAAGGAAGTAAATTAAACCTCCACTTTAAACTATTGAAACTTTTTCCAAGAGTTGTCCAGAATTACAGAACCCGCTGTCTTTCCTGTATATTTCTTTGGTTTTCAATTATAAGAAAATAATCAATTTTCTAATTTGCATTACATCTATGAAATGTGCAGCATTTTTTATTGAATTTCTATCTCGCCAAATATCCTCTAGTTCATAATCTCTTAGAAATTGATTGAGGTCATCTTTGCTAGGATCATCTTTAGCTGGGACTGCATGCCTATCCATATTTCCATCTATTGCGCAGATAGTCACCACATACTATCCTATAATCCAAATTTTTATTGTATTTATCATAAGGCATATGTCTACATGTATTTCCCGTTCATTTCACATCATTAATTTCTAATTCATTTTATTTCATAAATAAAATCCCAATAACACGTGATTCACTAGACCAATTATCCATATAGTTTATATGGTATAATTTCTTTTCATGCCATATTATACCATAGATGCAAAAAATGAAGCAAAAACAGGGTCTCTTTAATTCAATTTTTAACAAAGGACAAGGTATGGTAACGGCCGAATCTGGCCCATTATTTGATGTAAAAGTCAGAACACAGTTAAAATTGTGATAGTTTGTAATTGAGAATAAAAATGATGTTTGTTTTAAAACCAGCACTAATTTTGATTCAAAGCTTACACGGGGGCAACAAGAGGGTGCAGAAGTAGGACATTTTCCCAAATTTCCTCAATTCTGGTCGAATTTCGTCAAATTTGAGACACTTTACACTTTGAGAAAGATAGAGCACACGCTTGTCTATCTAAGATTTTTATACATAAGATGCATCTGATACTATTGTATGAAATATATTAATTTGGTAAGCTTGTGCCCTATGTTTTCTGATCCAAAATGTGCTGTAAAATCGATGAAAATGTGCATAAAAATGAGAAAATTCGTAAATTATATATTTTCTGACCTTCCTGTGACCTCTGTGTATCCTATAACTTAGAACCAATACTCATTTTGTGGCAGGGGTGGCAACAGGTTTTTAATTGATAAACTATTGCACCATTCTAAAAGACACCCCAAATAAGGGGCCAAAAAGGGGTCTTAGCCTATCTTGTCCTTTAACTTTTGTACCACAAATAAACAAATTTATCTGAATTTGTTTACAGTCAAAACAAATCTTAGGATGCCTGAACGTTGTTCATAAAGGCAACTTTTAGATTAATTTCCAAATTTAAATGTGAAACTAAACTGATTAAACCCACTTTTCAACTGGTTCAGAATTTCTGTTGCCGGAGTTTCCGATGGACCCGCATTACATTTCAGATCAACAGAGGAATCTGGTAGCCTTGCCAAGCTGGGTATCACATCCACATTATAATTTTTTTACCGGAACTACATGTAGCATTTTGAACGCACAAAGACGAATCTTCAATAATTTTCACTTTTTGTTAGAACAGGGTGGTTCAAGAATATTCGGCAAATCTCTCAGCTGGTCGTTAGACACACGCTTGTATTTTCGCACATCGTTTAAACTTCTATGCCCGGTCCTGCTCATGATTTGTTGCTCGTCTAAACTGCTCAGGTACAATTGGGTCGCACATGTTCTTTTACCCGACTTATTTGTTAAGTTTCCCTCTAAAACTGTTTTTCAGCACATTTCTTTCTTTAAGTTTTCAAATCTATTCACGCAATTATTTTGCTTGGAAAATTTGAGTGTTCCAGAAGAAGGGCGTTTGTAGAATTTCCCATCTTTGTCACCAACAAAATCAATGTAAGTAGTGTACAAACGGACAAGATTTTGGACACTGTCCTCGGTGGTAACATAATGTTTTTGTGGTCAACATTGCGATGTTTCAACCCTTTAAAGGTTTTGTTTGCGAACTGTATGAACTTGCCAGTGTCGTCCTCGCTTATTTCAAACTGAGAAATATCAAGGTCGTGATGCTCATCTCTACCCCTCAATCCAAATAGTTTGCAGTTATAGAAAAAAATGCCTCGCTGGATTCATGACCAATCTCACCGGATGTCCAAAGCCTTTCTTCCTGTTTGCGGCTTATTGGGTCTGCTTGACGCACAGTTGAACCATAACCTATGAAAACGAGCAGATAATACAAAACAAAATGGAGAGAGAAGAGAGAGAGAGAGCAAGCGTCTGTTTGACAATTTGACAAAACATTTAAACTAATAAAAGTTATAAATACAATAACCTTTAGGTGTTAAAAACTTCTTCGAAATCTGATAAAACGGTTATCTTTTTCGTTCATAAAGTTTAGGGTATTTCCATTTTCTCGCTACAGCGCAGAATGCCTGTTGTTAAAAGGTAGAGCGATTTGGGAGGGTAAAAGTCCCCATCACGTTTCCTTACTTCAACTATGAACCTCGACAGCCATCTGTTTATGTCATCCACGGAAAAATGGTCAAAAGAATATTTTCAAGAGCAGCATTTCGTGAAATGTGCCAATTATTAAACACACGAACTGCCCATGCTGTACTCTTCTTAGTGTTGCCCTGAGTTGTCCCGGAGATCACTTCGTCCAAATCTTCGTTTTTGACTGGATTTCCGAATCTTGGCGAATTCTCCGAAAGAGTAAACGTTTCCTGCAAATGGTTTCTTCCATGCTAAATGACTCGGTCCCGTTTCTCTGCTCTCAGGCTGATTTCCTAGATCAAACGTCTAGTCCGCTAAATCAGATATCATGCATTCTGATGTAATGTAATCTAGTTCTAGTTCTATACGATTGGCTATTTGACTAAATGTAAAGTTTTCCTCCTCATCCCCAAGTTCATTTCCCAAAGATTCCATAAAATCAAGATCGTTAAAAAAGCTGTCGTCCTCTATCGTGTCTCTTAACTCAACTGTTCATCTCTTCGCGCTTGACACCGAATTTAAATCACGTGATCATTTGAAAGAGGTTCCCCGTGAGGTTAAACTAATTTTTTTTTACACTTATCGCGCTTTTCTCTTAAATATTTACTCAACAGTTCTATCACACTATAGAAAATGCAATGATAAATATTGTCTTTTTAATATTCATTTTAAAATATCAATATTTATTACTTTTTTCTCACTGATAAAAATTTTCCCTTTTCACATCACTATTTTTCGAGAATATTGATAATGACCCTAACAAAAATATACTATAGTTAACTATAATTTACTATAGTTAATTATAGTAAATAAAAGTGCTATAGTTATCACTATAGTTAACAAAAGTTTTCAAAGTGATCACTATAGTTTCATAGTTATCACTATAGTAAATCAAAGTTTTCAAAGTGATCACTATAGTAAATCAAAGTTTTCACCATAGTGAATCAAAGTTTTCATAGTGATCACTATAGTCAATCAATGTTTTCATAGTTATCACTTTAGTAAATCATTGTTTTCATAGTGTCAAAGTTATCACTATAGTTAACTATAGTAAACTATAGTTAACTATAGTATTTTTTTGTTAGGGGATGCAATACTTTATATCAGGTTCCATAGGGATAATGCTTGAATAAACTATCTTACACTGAAATGAATTTTGATAAATATGTTATGTGCCTTTAAAATAACTTTAATATTTGCGCATCATAGGTTAAAACAGATATACCATACATATTTTGACTGTTTTGTGGTGTATTGTAAATTATATCATGGTTTGGGTTTCACGACCCTCGGCTTCGTCTCGTGAGGTTAAAACCAGGGTCCCAAAACCCAAACCATGATATAATTTACAATAAACCACAAAACAGTCAAAATTTTATGATTTATCTATTACTTCTACTCCAGTTGTAAAGGGACTGAATAATGATTCAGTCATTTTCAACATGAATGATTCGACCTTGTATTTACAGATGATAACAAAATGTGCTTTGTGTTTGACATTCACACTTGATATATATTTCTGACGTAATGATGTCGATACTATATCACATATAATTTGAAGGTTGTATATACATGTATAATATTCTTACAATGCGTGAGGCGCTTTATAACTCTTGCTATTTAT